CCCCCCCCCTCCATTGTCTCAGAGCTAAAGAAAGGCAGACAAAGTTAGCACAATCGCACATATCCAGCTAACGACTATTTTGAGGAAGCTGCCGAGAGAGAGAGAGAGTGTGTCAAGATATGTGAAGTCTATCTCCACTCTCTTAGGAGTTGGTACTAATTACTCTCTCATCATACAGCAGAAGCTCCTCTTCCAGCTGTTTCACTGAGCTACAAGACCAAAGCATCAAAACACTGTGTGTGTGTGTGTGTGTGTGTGTGTCAAAGATCAAATGAGAAGGCAAGAACAGAACCAATGTGTGAAAGTCTCCCAAAGAAAGATGGAAACGGGGATGCAGTATGTTTACGTTTGCAGCACTTCTTCACAGGCGGGACTTTACAGTGAATGATGCGGTTCAATGTAGAGTCAGTCATTCAGCTGGTGGCTGAAGTCTCTGGTCTACTGGAGAGCACAGTTTGTGTGTGGACTTCACAATAGTTGTGCAGAACAAAATAAGCATCAATAAGAAAAGGAAAGTCCTCTGTTTTGTGTCTTTTGTCCTCCTCAAAGCCTCAACCCGTGTGTTCAGACGTCCGCTCCGTAGGGCTGATAACGCTGCTGGACGCAACGCTCGCTCACCGCTCCAATAACAGCTTGCCTCCTCCACATGTCTAGTATAGACAACAAGGTCAGTAACGCCTGTAATCCGTTATCCATGTGGAATTAACCTGGTAGTCGATCGATAATCAAGGCTGTTTGTTTTCTTCTGGAAAAGAGTCATGTGATTAGGGCGTGACGAATCAGGGAAGGACACGTCGTGACTGAGAACCAATCAAGTAGCGAACGCAAGTGTCTACATCATCGTTTTAAAACTCATGTGGTTGCGTCTGTCCACACTACGAAGTAACCCCGGAGTTTTCACACTTACCTGGCTTCGGTAGCGTTTCTAAACTCCTTAGTTTTCGGTTCTCTACAACTTACGCCGAGTGTAAACGTAGCAAAAGATGTGCGTTTTCAAATGGAAACGTAGTAGTGCGGATGAAGCCTCAAAACAGCGTTGCTTTGGGGAACCCTAATCCACAAATCTTTACAATTACAGATGCATACCTTGTATCATTGGGCTGTAGTCAAGACCAACAAAATCTCCAGATCAAGTAAAAGACTGCGCTGTAGAGAACAAAACAGTGCCCATTCAGAATTGGTCACTATGCTGACCTACTGTTGCTCAGCCTTAACTGTGACATGACTTTGATCACTCAATGAAGCCCTTTGGATTCCAAAAAAGTTTGAAATGTGATGAAATGACACAAATCTGCCCAACAGCTGCATTAATTGCTTATATTGAGAAAAATAAGACTATACAAGAATAGTAACATAGGAAACTACATATTATCACACAATACCAACCAGCTAAATATGAACTGCGGTGTGATTCTTCTATTCGTGCACAAAACGACAAATGAGGTTGTTACAAGACACGATGTGGAAAAGAAGCATCACCTGCTGCACTTTGAACTGTAACTACCGGGTTTATACCAGTGAACTGACTAACTTCTCAGGCCAATGCTAACAGTCACCGTGCTCACTGAGATAAACTGGCACCGACATGCGACAAAAGGTCCTGGGCTCACCACTGTAACCTGACGTGAGCTCTAAAAACAGAGGACAGCGCTTGTTTGGTTTTTTGTCCTCCTCACTGTCCCCAAACCTTGCTGTTGAGTTACTTGTTTTATTTGTTCTTGCTGCAGCGTATGTACTGTGGGGTCAGCATTTTGTTCTGCTCACAGGCTGCGTGGTGCCAACATTTCCCACACCGCCTCAGGCTCTGCACTGTGGGAACAACGTCCCGCTCGTGGGCCCAGCGGTAGCGTTCACACCAGAGTGTGTCAACTGCATGGCAAGAATGTGGAAAATGCTGCACAGGATGCCATTTTCTTCCCTTGGTTTTTAATTTGTGTCCATTTGTGACCCTGCTAAGAGCGGACTTGTGGTCGGCATAGTCCTTTCTGATGTACGTCCCAGCTGTGAACTCAGCCTCCTCTTCTCAGGGCGGAAGGCTGCAGCATAGTGCAGAGAGGAACCCATTGGATATTGGAACAGGTGTGCATTATTTGTCACTTATGGAAACGGCCATGGCAGGGGTCTGTGCTCTCAGAGTGCCCGTCTAGTTTTTAAGAAAAATCTTATTTATACTTTATTTAGACCGGTAATCTCATTCTCAAGAGGGACCTTGTGAAGACAACACATTGAGACACAAATATACAGACGGACAGGACATTCATACAGAGATATATAGAACACTAGTCATGAAAGTGTAAAAGTGCTAAAGACCTCATTGGTATGGGTGAAAAAATAACACAACTCTAGGCAATGTGTCATGTATGTAGTGGATTCCCTGCATTAAGCTAAAAGTGAGAAAAGTGGTATAGAAAGCGTGGAATTTCACAAGCTAACTAATAATCCTGGAGAGCACCACGCCACAAACGCACCCTACTTAACTGTGAAACCCAGGGAAAAAGGCCCTGGTGGGAAATTGCAGCAAGATTACCAGGCTATTGGTTTTCTGGGAAAATAGGCGTCGTCCTGCGCCGTGATTGCACCAATCTCCATCCCCACCCCCCCGCGCAAGTGTAGAGATCATGAGCACCAGAGAGGAATGAGAGGCGCACGTCAACAAAGCCACCAGCTCTGACAGAATCCTATCTGTGAGCAAACGCTCGTGCACAGATGAATGAGGGGGGAGAAAAACAATGAAGGCAAACAGACACGGAGGCATTTTTTGTTTTCTACCCCCACTGTTGTGATTTGACCCGGGCCAGGAGGCAGTGGTGTATTTGCAGCCCTGCCAAACTGGCATCACTGAGATTATCCGACTCTGCTGGGATCCACGTGGTTTGGCAAAGGATGCATAAACAATGAGAAATTTGGGGCTAAGTCAAAACACGCTTATCGCTCCCCCACAAAGAGGGATTAGACCTAGGAAGGAAAATATAAATAAAGGGAGCTGCATTTGCATCGCCTTCCCTTTGCCTACCCCGCAGCTACGACATAGAACTTTTCTTTTGTCAGGGAATTGGTGTTTACGTATAG